ATATATATATATATATATATATATATATATATATATATATATATATACATACATATAACTATTAAAAATATATGTATGTACATACTAAAAAACTATTAAAAAAACAAAGGCTAATAAAATATTATAACGATTTCATAAAACCACGATAGTTAAAAGCATTAAAAAATGAGACAAATATACGAGAGCAGATCTAAAGAAAAGGCATAAAAGTTCCAAATAAAATAGCTACAATGTGTTGGATTGGTACAATAAGCTTATTTCAAAGTGTTCCAATTTTCATCTTTGAAACACTGTTGTTATCCATCAGATGAAATAAACATGCAGTGACATTTTCCTATCGGGAAAAAGAATAATGAATTCGATAAAGCCAAGGTATACAATGACATATTACACAATTAAGCAAAGGAAAAGATCGACAAGATAAGCAGTATGAAGAAAAGAAGGCCGCATTTTAATTGAATTCAATTGAATCTTTTATTTTTCTTTTTCCTTCACTTTTATGACATTTGGGACAATAAGAAATATAGAAAGGATCAGTCGGATATATTTGATTGCATCAAAATTGTTTAAAATAAGAACATAAACTACAACTCTCTACCATCTTTTACAGTTGATGGTGGAGAGTTATAGTTTGTGTTCGTAAAGTTTAGGCAGCTACATTTCCTTTCCATTCATACTTTTGGTGACACATGACAATGAGTTTGAGCAACAAAATTAAGGATTTGTCATACAAATGAGCATGAATTTCACCTTTCCTCTCAAGTAAATACATTAGAGCTTTCTCATTACGTAGATAAATACATTAGAGATAGGAGAAGTTTCCTCGAGTTATTATTGTTACGGAGCAGCATACATCAAAAATCAGAAAGCCTTAACGAACTGCCCGCAGAAACCATATTATGCACATCAGCAACGATAAGTTGCGCCACTTGGTCTGCTACCTCCGCCTCCTAAAACAAGCATATGTTCCATGATAAAGTCTCCCATCATTAAATTGTAATTTGATGAATTCCTTGAAGGCGGAATCACGAACCTTCCCAGTAAATTCTCTTGGTTGATTTGATCAAGAACTGAAACTTTGCCATCTGTTCGCAAAACCACTATCCTAATCTCAACGGAATCAAATAGTGGAGGCCATTAACCATTTGCTTCATTAGTTTTTGCAAAAAGACAAATATCCTACACATCTATTTCCACCTAAGCTAACACACGGAAGGTCTAACAACCAGAGTTAAACATACCTTTTTCACAGAGTAATGTAGATATTTATCTATTTTGCTTTTGAGCCTCCGTCGAGTATTTCCCTTATTTTCGGATATACTGTAACTATTATCATACATTGGTCGATAGCGGCCCATATCATCAACTGTAGCTAATGAAATGCTCCTGAAATGAAAACGAAACGTACTGAAAGCAAATTCAAATTCTGCAAAAACGTGATGCATCAATCAGTTTGGAAACAAGTTGCTCCAAAAATAAAGTAATTGATTAACTGAAGTTTATAAAATGAATAAAAAAACTGGCGAATAAAAGTAAAGCAAGTTTCAAAAAAAGAAACTCACGCTCTTGATCGCCCAATACGGGGAATACTCGTGCCATACGAATTTGAGCAATCTGGCTGAGAGACTGCCTCGTATTCCTCCCTATTCAGTGGTAACAATGCAGGAGAGAGTGATGGGTCAAGATGAGTTAAATTACGATATATCGCTTTATCAAATAACGATGACGGTATGCTTGTATCTGAGGAATGATCAGAACTAATCGCTTAAATAGACAATATTTTTTTTTATTTTGAAAAAACAAATTCCAGCTTCCACCATATTGGAATCTCCTGATTCCCTTCAACATTAATTCATAAGGAAATGCTTGTTCAGTCATCTGAATACACTCTTCTGTGTTTTTGATTACGCAAATAAGATTTTCAATTGCAAACCACTTAAAACTTTTGCAAAAAAGTTACTGGCATGAGGCAGAAAGTACCACTTTACATAAACTTTTCGTTTGAAGTTCTGCTTTGTTTGTGCTAGGAGAAACTAGAGCACAAAACCTCAAATTTGACAAAGAAGGAACGGACATTTTTTTTGCCATCAGATTCTCACCTAAATCAGAGCTAATGTTACCAGTTCTGCATGGCTTCCTTTCTAATGAATGTCTACAAAATATTTCGAAAATGCAAAACTAACCAAATGTCCGCTTTCTCATATTTGGATCCGGCAATTCGACATTGTTTTCGATTTGAGCCATCAGCTTTTGCAGATATTTTACAAATGCTGGAGATGCAGAAAAGCGTTTCAGGTAATTCTGAAAAGAATAACAGTGATTTAAAAATTTTTTCCTACAATAGAAAGAGTCTAAATGTAACATGTTACGACCTAACAATTTCTTTTATCACAGAATCTTGGTAATTTCTTCCTATTATTAATTCTCATCTTACTGCTACAAAATCCTACCATGCAATCATGATTTTGAAAACCATGGTTTTGTTCCCAAAACTATTACTTGCTTACCTGTTCCAGAATGCGCAAAGCCATAAGTCGTGCTGTTTCGAAACAGCTCGAAGCAGGTCTTCCATTTCCTAAGCAAATGTCGCTTTCGATCTGAATTCGTGTTTTCGAATCAAATTTCAATGGCTCTGTTGCTTGCATTGAAAAATATCTATAAAACGTGACCCATGAGAATGATCAATTAAATTTCTCTGCTTATGTTGTTATTTGGAGTTCATCACATTTTTGGTCGGTAATTCTCTCATACCTCATAATAATAATTTGCAAAAAACGAAAATTCAATCTAGAGTGCAGATTATGTTAATTTTGACAAATGAAACGAGTAAGGTAATGTAGTTCATAAAATCCTAAACAAGTTTCTATGAAAACGCTCCTACATTATTATGTCATTCGTACAGATCTTAGATCAAAGGAAACCAAAACCAAAACGAAGAAATTATGAAACCGCTCATCGAAACATATTCAGTAAAAAATGGTTTTAAATTGTCATTAATTATCTTACATATATCTTGAGCATATCAAAGTACATTATATATACGTATATACAAATATATATATATATATAT